AAGAAATGCATTGGCGTTAACTAAGGTGGTGAAAATCTCTGGTTCCAATTTACAAACCCCTTTTTTTTTTTTTTTTTTTTTTGTCATTTCCAGCTACTAGTTTCTCCTAAGAAAACAAGTTTCTTGTTTCTTTTAGTTTTGTGTGTGCCCTGAGCTTTATTCCCAATTGCTGCTATGAAAAACTGAAATGGATCCCAAACACTGCTATTGTTTTTCTTTTTTTCCTTGTAACTAATATTTAAACATCAAAGATACTCTGGTACTTTTATGTTGTAGAGTGTATAAAAGAGCGTATTTTCCCTAAAGGTATTTGTTGTGCAGGATTTTTTGTTTGTTTTTTGGCTATTAGCCTTCTCTTTTAGAAGTCATCTGACTGGTAGTTTTTGATTTCACAGGATCACTGGCAGTTGTGTGGAGGAAGAACTGCAGTGAGGACGTATTAAAAGCAAGGAGAGGGCCAGCCCGTGGCTCACTCGGGAGAGTGTGGTGCTGATAACAACAAGGCCACGGGTTCGGATCCCATATAGGGATGGCCGGTTAGCTCACTTGGGAGAGTGTGGTGCTGAGAACACCAAGGCTACGGGTTCAGATCCCATATAGGGATGGCCGGTTAGCTCACTTGGGAGAGTGTGGTGCTGATAACAACAAGGCCACGGGTTCGGATCCCATATAGGGATGGCCGGTTCGCTCACTTGGGAGAGTGTGGTGCTGATAACAACAAGGCCACGGGTTCGGATCCCATATAGGGATGGCCGGTTTGCTCACTTGGGAGAGTGTGGTGCTGATAACACCAAGGCTATGGGTTCAGATCCCATATAGGGATGGCCGGTTCGCTCACTTGGGAGAGTGTGGTGCTGATAACACCAAGGCCACGGGTTCGGATCCCATATAGGAATGACCGGTTAGCTCACTTGGGAGAGTGTGGTGCTGAGAACACCAAGTTAAGGATTAAGATCCCCTACCAGTCATCTTTAAAAAAAAAAAAAGCAAGGAGATGAGTTAGAAGATTTGAATATATTTGAATAAAGTACTTTATCCAGATATTTATTTATTTATTTATTTATTTTTTTAAAGATGACCGGTAAGGGGATCTTAACCCTTGACTTGGTGTTGTCAGCACCATGCTCAGCCAGTGAGCAAACCGGCCATCCCTATGTGGGATCCGAATCCGGGGCCTTGGTGTTATCAGCACCGCACTCTCCCGAGTGAGCCACGGGCCGGCCCTTTATCCAGATATTTAAAAACAAGCCCTACGTTAATCATCCATCAAAACTCATACTGTGATGACCAATGGCCTTGGGAAATTTTAAAACTTGAGCACATTATCAGGACTCCTCCTGAGGCTGAAACTAAAAAATAATCTTCTTCCATTAAGACTTTTATTATTAAGGCAATTCCCATGTAAATCCTTGGTATGTTTATTATAAGAGCCTATAATGATAGATCTTATAGGAGTTTTCAAAGTTTTATTGAATCTGTTAATTGGAAGTGTTCATGAGATTTGCCTTTGATTAGCTCTGTTAAAAAATTACATGTGATGTGAAAGAAAATATCAAATTATGTTTGTGTATCATATAAATTTTTTTCTTAAAATATCTGTTTTCTTTCTTTATACTTACAACTCATATAGAACATTATTTTCATTTAAACCTGTATCCTAAAGAAATAGTAATTATTATGTTTTTTTGGAATACTTATGTAGGTGAATTGATTTTCTTATTAGGTAGGAGTAGAAATAGGAAATATTTGAATGACCGCAAAAGAAATCCCAGTATTGCCAAAAGTGGCAATACTATATGAATCAATGTAAATATGAATCAGGAGACCCAAATGGTAGAAATTACAATACATAAAGGAGAAAAATAGAAAGAACAAAGACATGTTACATTCAAAATGTTGAAGGTATTCCTAATTTGATATATGTGATCTCATAAAGAGAGTATATTAAATGAACTGCATCTTCAAATTACTGTTTTGTTCTTCATCAAAAGAAAAAATAAGAAATAGCAATTTAGGGTCAAAAATAATGCCAGAAACCAAGTTTAGCTTTAATTACTGTCTAGCCATAAGAAGAAATAAACTATCAGCCAAGACTAAGGTCCTTTGATCTCACATTTCAACCTTCTTGTCCTCCAGATGAATGAAATGGTCTTTTCTCAAATTTTCAACAGGCCTTTTACCATTTGATAGGACAATTATTTTTAAGAAGGTTTAAAATGTGATCTGGAAAACCACATTGACTCTCTGTGGCATATTTGCTATTCTTAGCCTGGTGGAATAAGCTGGAAGTGGATGGATGAATAATGCAGGTTAGAAAGAAAACAGATGCTGAATATTACAAATAGGAAGGTTTTCCAGCAATGAGACTTTCATTTTAGGACTAGATTTTTGTTGGCACATTTGGCATTATGACGATTATTATTTTTCTCTCCAGCTGTTACACATCTGTATTGAAGGTTGGGGCAATTGGCGTTGGTCAGAGCCTTTCAGTGTGGACCATGCTGGGACTTTTATTAGAACAATTCAGTATAAGGGTCGAACCGCTTCACTCATCATCAAGGTTCAGCAACTTAGTGGAGTGCAAAAACAGGTAAGTTTCTTCATGTTCATGACCCAGAAAACTCTTAATTATTTGATGTAATGGAGATGAAACTTAAAGAAATGAAAATAATTAATTAAAAAGTCACAGTGGTTTTGCCTAGTTATGCCTACTACTAGCATGCACAAGAGCACTTAACAATTGCTTGCTGATGATCCTGATGATGATGATGGCTTCAAACCCCTTGTCCCACATCTTTTACAAGAGCTGCTAACGAGCAGTAAAATTTACTGATTTTAGTTTCACCCCTTCTCCCTGTCACCACCTACCTTCTGGTGGAGGTGCTAATGAGCTGTGAAATTGCCAAAAGGCCTTTACTGAGAAGGAAAAGAAGCAAAGGGTAGTGGGACTCTGGATAATCCACAAGTGGATAACCAAGAGTTGTTCTCATGCATGTAAGAATAATCGGTGTGGAAGTGTTGTGATACTGTCCATGACAGAGTGGGCCTGGGTCTCCAGCAAGCTTTTCTTTTCCTAGGAGTTAATATTAACTGCAGTAAAAATTCACTGCAGTCTGACTCTTGGCATATAAAACCTTAGCTCTCAGCACATATTTTTGCGTATTTTATAAAACTTCCTTTTGGCTGTTTTTGAAGTTCTAAGACTGCAAAGGGGGAAAAAACTATCTGACACTTTTTTTTGTTCTTAAGATGTGAAAATGTGGTTCCTAAAAGATGTTTTTTAAGCGTGGAGCATATGACAAGAGTAGAAAGAAAAAAAGGAAGTATTAAAATCTGAAAACTGGCTTCACTGCACACATAATAGCTGGATTTGTCATAAGAATTTTAACATACACATCGGCATCTGGATTTTAACAGTCTATCCAGAGCTTACGTGAACCAAGGACATGAGAGAAACAGCACAAAGTCCCTGGAAAAGGGGAGCGTCCCTTATCAAGCAGCAGGGGCTGTTGTATTGCTGTATGCCAGGGAGTAAGCAAGAAGCAACTGGTGAGATGAATAGCAGGACCCATAACATATACATTCTTGGTCTGCACCTGATCACAGAACTGGACTTCACGTTCTCATTATTGTGGGCAACAGAAATGAGAAGAGAATTATAGCACTATAGCAGAGGAGTCTTGGAAAAGAAACATGGAAGAGTCTTCCCAATTAACTGATCATTCACCAGAGTGTTTGTTGATTGCCTACAGTAGAACAGGGTAAAATGGAAGATACCAAGTATGTGACACAATCTTTGCTCTGAAATTGCATATTTATATAAACCCGGCAATGTATACAACTGACAGGCTTCACTAAGAAGATATGACTTGAGCAGGGCTTTGGAAAATGTGTAGAATTTGGATTAAGAGAGCATTTCAAGTAGACTGTATAGCATTAACAAAGACACAAATATGGGACAAATGAGTTTTACAGAACGTTCATGAGGGACCAGCCTACTAGTGTGACCTTTGAGCTAGAGAGTCATAAAAACAAGGTGTGTCACTGACTCCCATCTGCCCTCAGAACTCTTCTAATGTGGGGATGGTCTCAACAAGTAATTCATGAGGGACCAGCCTACTAGTGTGACCTTTGAGCTAGAGAGTCATAAAAACAAGATGTGTCACTGACTCCCATCTGCCCTCAGAACTCTTCTAATGTGGGGATGGTCTCAACAAGTATCTGTCTGATGCATCCCACATTTTCTGATTCTGTCACTCATGGTCTTCTAAGAATGCCTTATGCACTTTCTCATGTACTAGTGTGTCTGAAAAACGGTCCTTCAGGCTCTGTTTGAATAATTCAGATGATGAGAGGCTCATTCCCTCACATGGAAGCTCTTTCTGTTGTTGGTTACTACCAGCTATTAGGAAGTTCTTTCCTAATTTTGAACAAAAGCCTTTCACCAGCTTATACCATTCTCCGGAACTTTGAGTCATACCCAGTGATCACACAACAACTCATGAGGATGTCACAAGTCACCTCTCCTGAATCATAGCCCTTCAAAAACACGAGGGGAGCCAGAATGTTTCCCTTGCTAGCTGTGTGATCTTCAGCAAGTTATTTAACGTCTTTGTGAATCACTTTCCTTACCTGTAGAATGGGGATAATAATAGTGCCTTCCTTAGGAAATTAGTGTGAGGATTAGTGTATATGTAAAATGCTTACAACAATTTAACGTCTTTGTGAATCACTTTCCTTACCTGTAGAATGGGGATAGTAATAGTGCCTTCCTTAGGAAATTAGTGTGAGGATTAGTGTATATGTAAAATGCTTACAACATGCCTGGCCCACTGTTAAAGCCCAGTAAACTTCAGTTACAATTATTAGAATGAAATATTCTCAGGCACGAATAACTCTAGTTGGATTTTTTTTGTCTTACTACAATAGTGCCTCATTCTTGCATAGATATTGTGTATTTTCAAAGAATGATGTAAAATTTCAGGGATAAATTAATATATACAATGTTCCTGAACAGATATTACACATGGCAACAGTACACCAGACATCAAAAAAGTTGGCCATTTGAAAAATACATTTCTGAAAAACTATTACAAAGCTTTATCTCTCTTCCTCTCCACCACTGTTCCACACACACACATGCACGCACGCTCGGACGCACACAGAAATTTTAAATGTCTTTTGCAGTTGGATTTCTTTTTTATTGTCAGGGTAGCTTAACTAGCATTCAGATTAGCTCTAGTGAAAGTACATCAGAGACATAGGATTTCTTCAGTTGGTGAGGTTAGGAAGGAAAAATGGAACCAAGCTGCAGAAGACCTTCATGGATTCTTACCTCCCTCACATCGTGGCTTCTTTCCTTGTATCCCACCTGGGCCTAGACATTTGTAATAAACTGCAGCTGCCTGATTACCAAGCCCTATTTGTGGGGTTGAGTATATGTAGATCCCTGATGTACCTTAACCATATTAATATGCCCCTGGATAATGGAGAATTGGCTAAAGCTCTTTTTAACATTGATGTGAAGTTACCTGTAGCCTGCTTTTCTTATACCCCTCTCATTTCCCCAACTGAATGAAAACTGACCACATATAAAATTTCTCAGGAATTTTGTACACTGCACAAGGATATTTCAAAAGGTTTGTAGAGACATGGAATTAAAAGATAATACAAATCTTTCTGTGAATTTTTTGAAGACCCCTCATACATCTACCCATGTACATGTATTTGCTTCTATGTCTCCCATCCCTTTGTTGAGGAAACCTTTCTCACTGTAAAAACTCAAATGTATGTACGTATGTATTGTACATACACTTTCAATCATGGTTAAGATATCATTTTCCAGTGCATCTGGTACGTTGGAGTTATTCTTTAATATCACTATTCCTCTTGGCACTGATCTAATAAGAGTTCTGAAACCTGCTAAGTAAAATCATATGTGGAAATCTTCAATACACATCTTTGTGGCTTTGGGGAAAAGGGGGAATTAGTGTGAAACCTGGAAATGTGTATTAAAAAGAAACCCTACATTTAAAAAAATTAAGTAGCTGTCTTCAACTGATAAATTAATCTTGAAATTCTAACCATAATTTTCAAAATAAAGGCATTGTACGTTTTGCCACTTTGAAGAAAAGCAGACATAGCGCTCCTGAGCCCTGCTCTGGGGCAGCCACGAAAAGACCTCCACTTGGTGAGCGGCCATTGTGGATTTTCCTCCATCTAAGTAGCCTTGCCTCCCTGGCCACTTTTAAGGTTTTTCTTTTTATCAAATTTGAAAGGCTATTTAACAGGCTTTTTAGTTGAAAATGAAACTATAAAAACCCACCAAGAGTATCTTTGTCTTTAAACAAAGTGAGTCCCAGATGGTTGCAGACATTCTGTGGTTTCTATGAGAGACAGCAAAATTCTCTTCTAAATCTTCTGGGGTCCAAATGTTCTAAAGGAAGAGTCGTGTGCATACATTGCCAGGCTTGGGCATATAAAGAATAAGAACAGAGTTAAATACTGTTTCAGGGTTTTCAAAAATGTTTATTTAAAGTTAGGCAATGCTGTGGCATCATAAGACTTATCATGAGTGTCTAGTAACCCAGAGTACATGCTAGAGAAAAGCTGCCTCATAGTTCAGTTGACTTTTATGGTTTGTTATTGTGAAAGAATAGTTTTAGAAGATTATAATGGCTAGAGTATCTAGGGAAAATATAACAGTTGAGCACAGCTTGCTTTTATAGATACGCTCCTTCTAAAGAAAATTCAAATGAATAGATGGTTGGAAAGTAAATGTTTAAGAAAAAGCTAAACCTCACTATTTCAAATAGTGCAAGGTAAAACAACAACGACATTTAACTTTTGGTCTATCGATCTGGTGGGTTTGTTTCAAGTAAATAATAGTTCATTCATAAGTAGTTTTTCATATTTATTTGTTTAAATGAAAGCTCATTAAAAATGATGGTTACAGAGAGCTATTAAGGATATAGTAAAATGTATCAATTAGGATGCTTACAGCTTGACATTATATAATATGCTTTTTAATCTTCATAACAAGTTAATGAGGCAGGTACTGTTATTATTTCTATTTTACGTGTATTATTTCACATAATAAGAAGGAAGAAGACAGGATCATTGTTATCTAAGCAACTCGGTGCTGTATCTGCTTCTCTGCCATCCTCTTGGATTTGCCTTTCTGGTCTCAAGATGGCTGCAAAAGCTATATACATCCTCTCATAACATCCTCCATGACAGTAAAGGAGGGCTTTCTCTTCTCAAATTGTCACCCTTATTATCAAGGGGTAAAATCTTTCCCAGAGCCTTTTACCAGTCTTCCCTTTTCATATTGTTAGCCAAAACAAAGTTCCATGTTTACACTAAACTAGTCCTTAGCAAAAGGACAATGGAATTATCAGGATTAGCTTGTACCAGTTATGATACAGCCTCTGGGGGCGGGGGCGAGGGCGGTGTCCACCCTCCCTGAGTACTTTGCTTGCTATCTTTTGACACCTAAACAAAATTAGAGTTTTAAACAGCAGGGAAAAGGAGGAACAGCTATTGGGAAGAGAACAAATGGTATCTGCTACATTTACATTATAATGGGCAGCAGCCTTATATTCTTTTTTATAGTTTCTAAATTTTCAGGATTAGCTTGTACCAGTTATGATACAGCCTCTGGGGGCGGGGGCGAGGGCCGTGTCCACCCTCCCTGAGTACTTTGCTATCTTTTGACACCTAAACAAAATTAGAGTTTTAAACAGTGAGGGAAAAGGAGGAACAGCTATTGGGAAGAGAACAAATGGTGTCTGCTACATTTACATTATAATGGGCAGCAGCCTTATATTCTTTTTTATAGTTTCTAAATTTTCTTAATGAGTAGGCATTAATTTTATGAGAGACAGACTATTGGGGTAATTATCAACAAAGGCTCTGGGCCAGACTGTCTGGGTAACACCAGGCAGGTTGTTCAGAATCTATTTTTTCCTTGTTGATATGGGGAGTCATAGTAGAACCTATTTTATAAGTCTGGTATGAGAATAATAGAATTAATTTGTGAAAATGCTTTGGATCGTTTAGGGGTCTCCAGAGAAACAGAACCAGTTAGATGGGGGTGGGGGAGGAGGGTGAGGAGAGAGAGAGAGAGAGAGAGACAATGATTGATTACAAATTGGCTCACATGATTATGGACATAGAGAAGTCCCAGTATCTTTAGTCAGCAAGCTGGAGACCCAAGAGAGCCAATGTGTAATTTCAGTGTAAGTCTAAAGGCCTAAGAACCAGAAAGGCTAGTAGTGTAAATTCCAGTCTGAAAGCCGGTAGGTTCAAGACCCGAGAAGAACCAGCATTTCAGTCTGAGTCTGAAGGCTGGAAAAGACCAGTGTCCCAGCTCAAGCAGTCAGGCAGAATGAGCTCTCTCTTACTCAGCCTTTTTGCTCCATTCACCTCTTCAGCTGATTGGATATGTCCACCCACACTGGGGAGGGCAATCTGCTTTACTCAGACTACCAGCTCACATGGCATCCAGAAATATCTTTACAGACACTCTCAGAATAGTGTTTACTAAATGTCCGGGCACCCCATGGTCTAGCCAAGTTGACTTATTAAAATTAACCATCACATGTAAGTATACTATACATCTATACTAGTTATTGTTATTAGTTTATAATCTGAAAAAATATTACAAATAAGAAATCCAGTAAGTGAAATTCTTGTTTTCCCCAATAATGATGAATATTCATATTACAGAATTTGCTTTCTAAAAGTATTCACTACATAAGAGTAAATTTTGCATTATCTTTTCAATTTCAATCAGTTGAAAAAACATTTCTTAGTACTATACTCTTAACGGGGTGCAAAGTTGGATAATCTATGGGTTTAATGGATAATTCAGTATGTTTTATAAAGGTATGACTTCTACATTGTCGAAAAACCTGAATAAAGTAAAATATAATTAGGTATCTAGGTTAAAGATTATTAGTATTATCAGTTTATACAGAGTTCTCTTACTGGATGAGAGCATGATAAACCCTTGGAAATCAGTTTCAAGAAAGAGATTGATCAGTTTCCCTCTCAGTTACCAGAGCTAAATGCTTGTTTTCAGTCCCCATCTTTTTGGACTTCTACATTATTTGACAGGATTCACCACCATCTCCTGGTCAGTCACGTGTCGCATGGCTTCAGCAAAACTGCTTTCTCCTGATTCACCTCCACACTCCTTTACCTCTTCTTCTCTGTCCCCTTTTTTGGCTTCTTACCCTGACTTTGCACCTAAAGAATTAGTCAATTTTGGGGTTTGAGCTTCTGCTCTCTTTTCCAGGTAAACAATCTTCTGTCTTTGTGTGTTTCAAGGCTTTTATTTCACAAGTCTTTTTTTCCAGCTTCACCTTCTCTCTTCAAGCACCTGACCAGTATTTCTAACTGGACACTGGACCCTGCCTATGTGACAGTCCTGAAATATCTTCTGTCTTTGTGTGTTTCAAGGCTTTTATTTCACAAGTCTTTTTTTCCAGCTTCACCTTCTCTCTCAAGCACCTGACCAGTATTTCTAACTGGACACTGGACCCTGCCTATGTGACAGTCCTGAAAACTCAACATGACCAAAGCAAAATTCATTGTTTCCTTCAAGTCTCTTTTTTTTTCTTGTACTGTCTAAGCTAATGACTTCATTTTCTTTTCATTAATATCAACACAGTTTACTCTGTCTGAACAATTACATATTTCCAATTAATGAAGTCTGAATTTATGAAGCCTTACGTATTTATTCATTGTCTTTTAGATTATCATCTGTGGAAGACAGATCATCTGTAGTTACTTGTCTCAAAGCATAGAACTAAAAGTCGTTCAGCATTACATTGGTCAAGATGGACAAGCTGTGGTTCGAGAACATTTTGACTGCCTCACAGCCAAACAGAAATTGCCTTCATACGTACTGGAAAACAATGAACTGACAGAGTTGTGTGTGAAAGCCAAAGGAGATGAAGATTGGTCAAGAGATGTGTGCCTAGAATCCAAAGCCCCTGAGTATAGCATTGTCATTCAGGTATGAGAAGTAGTACAGTATAGAATACAGCAACTTTGAAATTTTCTCAATATGCTATTTACATGTTTAATACAGCACTTACTTTATTAAAAAGTGATGTATGAAAAAGGGGGGCAATCTGAAATAATATGGGAAGGCTTTGAATAGTACTTTTCAAACTATTTCCTCCCCATCCCACAACAACATGTTTGTATCAGTTCCAGTAGTTCTAAGAGTCAAGACTCTATCCCTCCCAAATGGAGGTGAGTTATATCTTGAAAAAGATTTTGATGCACCAGGACCTGGTGTCCTTCCCTCTTGTGGATATTAGTGATGATCTGTTACTTTTTTTTTTTAATCTCTATCTCAATCTTCACCATCATCACTTTCATTCCCCTAAAGAAAAAATCCTCCCACTCAGTCTTATAGATCAGTCTCTCCTTATACAAATCCCTTCTTCGTCTTTATGTAAAGAATCAGCCCCATCAACTCACTGCACAATCACTTTATGCCATAATGAAGTCTGTTTTTGTTTAGTTCTTTTTTAATGGCTTTTTTCTATAACTTTATTTTTATCTTCCAAATTGATATTATATCTATGCCTTATTTTGATTAATTAGTGAACTGTTCAGTATTTAATAGGACTCTTTTCTATCTCATGTGCAGGTGCCATCTTCAAACAGTTCCATTATTTATGTCTGGTGCACAGTTTTGACTTTAGAACCCAACTCTCAAGTGCAACAACGAATGGTGAGTGCTTACCCAATCCTAAAATATGGTATATGACTCTAACCTTTTCTGTTCTGAAATAAATTAAGGTCAGAGTGACCCAGGGAAGAGATTTATTACAAGTTTGTTTCAGCATCAAACAGCTGGAATACAACAACAAAGCAAATATGAAAGTTGTTCTGTCCTTTTATTTTTATAGATTGTGTTCAGCCCTCTTTTTATCATGAGGAGTCATCTTCCAGACCCCATTATCATACATTTGGAGAAAAGGAGTCTGGGATTGAGTGAAACACAAATTATTCCAGGAAAAGGGCTGGAAAAACCACTGCAAAACATAGAACCTGACCTTGTACATCACCTAACATTTCAAGCAAGGTACTAGAAAACTCCTTACATTTTCCTAAAAGAAATTCAGTAAAAAGTAACCTTGTACTGTTGCGAAGAGGAAAGGGGAGGGTGGATGGAGTTTTTTGTTTGATTCCATGTCTTATGAGAAAATGGTCTTTTAAAATTGCTCTGCCTAGTGTTCTTTTATTTTCTTCTATAGTTGTAGATAAAATTCAGCCTTTCTCATTGAACTTAGAAATAACCAAACAGGAAACCAACAGAAAGTTTAATGTAATTTGGATTTAATTGACACATGATTTCTCTATTGGAAGAAGAGATGAATAGAGATCTCACCCAAGAATGATTGGGGCGGGGCGGGGCAGGGAGGTGTGAAAGAAAGAGGAAAAGCCCAGATCATCCAAAAACTGTGTCATGAGTTTCTAAATCACCAAAAATGGACTCAATCCCACAAAAATGTATTGGTCTATTATACATTTATAGTTAGTTTTTATTTTTTCGGTAAGTTATAGACCACTTTAGAAATCTGATATTTATTCTTAGTTTTTCTTTCTATTTCCCAGAGAAGAATATGATCCTTCAGATTGTGCTGTTCCCATCTCAACATCCCTCATTAGGCAAATAGCCACTAAGATATACCCTGGAGGCACAGTTAATCAGATCCTTGATGAATTCTATGGGCCAGAAAAGTTCCTTCAACCCACATGGCCCTATAATAAGAAAGATTATGACAGGTATGTTCTATAGCAATCTTTTTCTACAAACATTTCTCAACGTTAAGAAATAACCAGCCACAGAAATATTAGATACTATAAATGGTGTAAAGAAAAGTATTTGTTTGTAGCTGTCAGATTCTGACCTTTTATCGTCTTGTAGGTATCTTTTGTAGATTTCTTTACTCACAATCTGGAACATAATTGCATAAAAAGTTGCTTTCTCCTGCATGCAAATTTAGCCTTGGATGACTCTGGTATGAAGAGGTATCACACAGGAGAGGTGTGTGTCTGGAATCCTTAAACGTATTTTATGAATACTAAACTCATCATATTTCATTGAGTCTCTTGGATGTGGTATTTGGAACAGGAATGAACAGCTGAGTCAGTGGGATAGCCCAATGCGAGTGAAGCTGTCAGTCTGGAAGCCATATGTTAGAACTTTGTTGATAGAACTTCTACCGTGGGCCCTGCTTATCAATCAGTCCAAGTGGGACCTCTGGCTATTTGAAGGAGAGAAGATTGTTCTACAGGTTCCTGCTGGCAAAGTTATTATTCCTCCTAATTTTCAGGTACTATAACTTTTTTAACTAATATGAATTCTTTTTATTAAACAACTAGATTTTATTCTGAGGTTGCATTTATGATCTTAACAGAATGAATCGGTTGTAGAAAACAGTCCACTCAGATGCATACATAAGGGATAGGGAATGTTCTTTGATATTCAAAGACTTTTCAGATGTCTTTTTTTTCCCTATCAGCAGTATTCATACTTGACTTATTAAATTTGATAACTTGTAGTAGTTACATTCTCATTTCCATTGTGTACAGGATATTTGACAAGCATTAGGGTTGGTCTACTCAGTATATGTTAAGGATATTGAGCCATATTATGTGCTAACACGTTCTCTAGATATTCTTTGTGATTCTTGCAGAAATTCTCTGAAATCTGCAAGTTGTTAAGGATTTTTGAGCATCCATTTTGTCAGGGCCCCTTTTCCTGTATAAGGACTTGTATGTCCATAATTATGGATGTCTACCCAGTTGTTGGTTTTAACATGGACTCATTATTGACACAAGGAGGAAAACCTAATTGCAAAACAGAATCTCACGCGAAGATTTTTTATTCTATCACAAGAGAACTTTCTTTATAAGCCTAGCCCATTTCAAGAAGGCACGCAAATCTGTAAGAAAATAGACTAAAAGGAACAGCTAAATAAAATGTTTTCCTGATAAATAACAATTTGGGGGGACCTCCAGTCCATAAATACCTTTTTTCAATTGCATGTTTAAAAAAAAAAAAAATCATGTGATGTTTACCTTATAGAATTGAAGTGTTGACCTATGTAGACCTAATGTTGCATGTTACTCTTTGTCAAATAAGATGAAATCTTCAGTTTTAAGCATTCGGTATTTATAGGGTAGTCATCGTTTGGGTTTGGTTTTTCCCCCTTCCATAAATACAAATTCTATTATGAGTCAAAAAAGACATTGGGAGCCAAAATAAAAGTATGTTGTCATTACAAAAAAGAAGAAGAAAAAGAAGAACCATGGAGGGATATTTGGTTGCCTTAGTAAACCTATTATATAATATAAAAAAATTCCTGAGGATTGAGATAAAAAATATCAAAGTTAAGAAAAATACTTTATAATTGAAGCATTGTTTTTCCAGGAAGCTTTTCAAATTGGAATATACTGGGCAAATACAAACACTGTGCACAAGTCAGTAGCAATTAAGCTGGTCCATAACCTGACATCTCCAAAGTGGAAAGATGGAGGTCATGGTGAAGTTGTGACATTGGATGAAGAAGGGTTTGTCGATGCTGAAATAACACTTGGTGCTTTCCCAGGACATCAGAAGGTGAGATCAAAGTCTGTGTGGCTCAGAGGAAGTGGCATGCCATCCCCTTAACCTGTTTAAAATGAATCTGCCCTTTTATTTTTTTAATCCCTTTTTGGTATCACTTGTTCTAAACAATTTATAACTGTGAAACACTTGATTTCTTAACTTCTTAGATCTCTCTGTTTTACAGTGTTTTGGTTTTTTTTTTTTTTCTTGCCAGTGATAAAAGCTGTGTCACATAATTTATCCAATAACTGCTCTATTTCAGAACACTCAGCAGACACTTGATTTATAGTATGTGGGAGTGGGGAGGAATGAACTTATTCCAAAATATCCACAAATTGAAGTTGGCCTCCTTTTTTAAAGCAGGAAGTAGAGTTGCTACCATTCTCAGCGTTGAGTGAAAGGACAAAGGCTCCTGCGGCAATAGTTATATTCTTGGAAAGGAAATTGTGAGCAAAGTGATGTGGATCCATTCTGATTTTCCCAAAGAACCAGTGTTTATTTTTGTTTTGTTTTTTTCTTTTGGCAACTGGCTGGTTTGGGGATCCGAACCCTTGACCTTGGTGTTATAATACCATGCTCTAACCAACTGAGCAAACAGCCAGCCCCATAAGAACCAGTGTTATAAGAGGGAGTTGTATTCTTGAACAGTGGACTGGTGCCCGTGTTTTTTGGAGCTATTGATACAAAAACATCTTTAATCAGTTATTTAACTGAATACAAGGGCTTTTCAGCATAAATCTAAAGTCTGAAAAAGCTGAATGTGTAACTAACACATTAAATTGTATGTGTGAACGTATAATATCGTAGTGTATCATGTAAAAGTGTCATGCTATACTTACAATATCTTCATTATTTTAGCTGTCCCAAATCAGAAAAAGAAGAGATACTTCATCAAAGTAGTAGAATTCAGAATGACCTTTCTCTGGGGAGAAGTTAGATTTTGGATGGGCATCTTTGAAGAATCTTTTGAGAAAAGTTAAGGTCATTTGGTGACTTTTAAAAAATAAATCTCCCTGATTTAAAGAAATTGGTCTTTCTTTAGTATTCAAGGCTGGTATCCCTTTCCTCAAAGTTGTCTGGGCAACATGTTTATGCTCTGCTGGCCAAAGTACTGTAACATGGGTATAAATGGCAAAGAGCTGTAAGCATGCATCACCCAAAGTTGAATAGTTGTAAGTTGAGAACTACCATCAAAACCTGGAAAAAAATGTTACAATTTATAGTCAAACACCCAATACCTCTAGCACCTCACTAAGCAGCCACAGCAAGTGCTGAATAAATGTTGGTGAATGAATGAATAAACTGTTGGAAAATATATTGACATCTCATTATTCTTTAGTAGTGACTGTCAAGCTTTGTAGTCTCGGTACCCCTTTACACTCTTAAAAATTATTGAGCATCCCAACAACCTTTGTTTCTGTGGTTTATATCAATATTTACCAACTTTCAAAAGGAGAGAACAGAACAGTTGTTATTAGAGGTGGGAAAGGGGGAGGGAGAGGGAGGTTAGGGAGAAATTAGAAAAGGGTCACAAAGAATGATTAAGTTTTGTAATGATGAATATGCTAATTATCCTGATTTGATCATCACACATTGTACACAGGTATTGATATTCAACTTTGTACCCCACAAATATATGCAATCAATTATGTTTCAATTAATAAAGAAGAAATTAAAAGAGAAATTTTTAAAACACAAGAACATACTACAGACATGTTCCATTAGCCATCAGAATGATGCCATCACATGTCATATAGCCTCTGGAAAACTCCATTGTACACTCATGAGAGAATTAGAGTGGAAAAGGTAAAGAGCATCTTAGTATTATAAAAATAATTTTCACCTTGGGACCTCCTGCCCGGAGACCCCCATGAGCCCCCAGATCACCCTTTGAGAATTGCTGTCCGGACATTACCAATTACTGGCTAGGTATCTTTAGGCAAGTAGCACCTTCTCTGAACATCATTTCCTTGAAAAGCATGGTAAGGTAATGAGACGAGACAGAGTGGTTGAGAGCAGTTCCCTAGAGCCAGACTGCAGGGGTTCCATTCCCAAGTAGACACTCTTTCTTTGTGACCTTGGACAAGTTACTTAACCTCATTGTGCCTCATTTTCCTCTTCTGTAAAATGGAGATAACAGTAACTACCCCATGTAGGTATTGTGAGGATTATTGGGTTAATATGCATAAAATACCTAAAACAGGTAGAGCACAATGTAGCGATATGTGAAGGTCAGTCGTTATCATCATCATCAATTTAAAGTTCTCAGAACTCTCCTTGGTCCATAATAGGCATAGCAGATAGCTTCTCAGATGAGCATCAGGAGGAGGGAGAGGGAGGGATGCTGGATTGAATTCTGTATGCTGAGTAACAGGAATAGGCTTTGTTTACATATAAGTGCTTTATAAATAAATGTTTTGTAGGGTACTTTGTGAAGTTTCCTGAAAACAAGTCTCTTATCCGTCACTACACAATAGCAGCAGAAGTAGCTGGCTTGCTAAAGTGCCCTGTTGTAGAGTAAATAATGGCTCTTACAGGGGCCGGGACATCTTTGAAACTGAAAGGGAATGCTGTTAAATATGCTGGGAAAAGATAAAATTGATAAAATCCTGGACAAACCAATAGATAAAATAATCTTTTAAGAATAATCAAGAGATTTTTGTATATCTTATAATATTGTCAAAATTACTCTTTCCTCAACTGTCTTACAGTTATGTCAGTTCTGCATTTCTTCCATGGTACGGCATGGTATACAGATTATTCAGATTGAAGACAAGACTATAATAGTCAATAATACACCATATCAAATATTTTATAAACCACAGTTATCTGTCTCCAACCCCCATTCTGGAATGGAGGTAAGCAATTCATAACAGGATTGGTTTGTTTATGTTTTCGTAAGTTAATAGTAAATAGGATCAACTTTTTTTAACCTAGAGAAAATAAAAACTAATGCTGAATATAGGTAAAGAGAAATTCACTTATTTTTGCTGTAATTAAAACCATGGATTTCATGGTCTGTGATTCCAAGGTAATTAATGAGCAGAAATCCTACAAAGCAGCAGATCCTGATACACTGCCGGATTAGTTCTGCCTACGCCCCATCTGCTCAGAGGCCCAAGCACAGTCCTCTGTCACGCTTGCTAAACCCCAACTAGCAGAGAAGTGGTCCTGAGGATACACTGCCGGATTAGTTCTGCCTACGCCCCATCTGCTCAGAGACCCAAGCACAGTCCTCTGTCACGCTTGCTAAACCCCAACTAGCAGAGAAGTGGTCCTGAGGACTGGCTCCCCAGTCGCATGAAAAAGAACATCTGCCTTGCAGGCTGCGGTGCCTGGAGAAGCCATGTGGGCAGAAGGCTAGGGCCCAAACTGAGCCACGGATCTGGGAGCAGTGAGCTCCGTGTCTATGAGGAGAGTCCATGTGGAAATATACCAGCTCGTTTATGTTAACATCTTGATGGCAGAATATGCAGAAATAAATGCAAGAATGTTCAGACGAATTTTTGATTCAGATCTTTCTACACTTAAAATGAACAGTTACCTTTTTAGAGAATAAGGAGAAAATTTAAAATAACTTAAAAACAGAATATGCTGAGTGGTACTCTATTGCTTTATGCTATTGAAACTATTAGGAAAGTATTATCTTTCTTCACCTTTGTCTGCACTTATTATTATTACCCCTTGCTTTCAGCTCCTAAAAATTATATTAGAATAATCAAATAGGATGAAACTCTTACCCTTTTAAGCCTACAATGTGTTGTGGTATTTATAAAAATGTCCAAACAATAGAATTTCATTCTGATTCACTGAAGTATTGATTAAAATAAATAGTTGACCAGAAGTACTCAGTTGATTGCCCAATTGGGCAATAGAGGTCAACAATGTCTGCACTGTAGGAGAGGGTTGGACAAGAGAATCAGCGTGTCCTAGTAACTCTCCTGTTGCTCCCCACCCCAGGGTTTCCTGAGATATTGGGTCACAGCTTTCCTCAGACATTTTCTCATCTGTAAAGTGGGCATAATTTTGCATTCCTTGCAGGTTTTTTGTGAGGATTAAGTGAGATAATATAAGTTTAAAAGGGTGGGCAGGGCCGGCCTGGTGGCGTACTGGAGAGTGCGCCGCTTGGGAGCATGGCGGCGCTCCCGCCAAGGGTTCGGATCCCATGTGGAGACCGGTTCCCGCTCACTGGCTGAGCGCGGTGTGGGCACAACACTGAGGGTTGCGATCCCGTTGCCAGTCCCCGGTATGGGCGCGACACCGAGGGTTGCGATCCCGTTACCGGTCAGTAAAAAGACAAAAAAAAAGGAAAAAAATAATAACAATAATAATAAATAAAAAATAAAAGGGTGGGCAATCAGTAAATGATAGTAGCCAGCAGCAACCACAGCACCATCACGTAGAACTCCTGATTTGCCTCAGTTTCCTAGAAAGAAGGGGAAGGCCCTGGTTCTTCCATGCAGCTGAGGAGTATCCCTTTCTTCAACCCTGACCCTGCGTCAGACATGATAATCTCTAGCCTCTCAAGGAGACTGTGGGACAGTGGGTAAAACCCCAAATTTGGAAGCAGAAAACCTGGCTTCTGGCTGGGCTTTCTTGGTTTTGTGACATTGGACAAGTCATTGGCTCTCTGGAAAGCAGTTTTCTGAGCTGTAAAAGAGAGATTCAAATAAATGATCTCTAAAGATCCTCTTTGAAGTCTAAAATTCTGAAATTCTCTAATGTGCCAGAAACCCTGTGGAATTCCATCTGAGTGTTGAGATCAGTATTTGTTCCTCCCCTAGCATGAGCCTTAAAAAAAAAATTTGTCTTCTGAGCTCCCAAATCACTGTTCTGTATCTCATTCAGATCTCTTCTTCCCAGTGTCTCCCAGTGGGCCGCACCTTTTAGTGCAGCCATACCTATCCAAGAGGACTTCCTCCCCAGCATATAGCATGTCTACCCATATGGCATCAGGATTTTTGCAATACCTGGAGAGCAGTGAGAACTTTGCATCACCTTTTAAATCACCCCAGCTCTGTCATGTTTTATTATGCCCAGAAAAACAGACCCTGCCCTCAATGCTTTTAATTGTCTCATTAGGGTTTTTTCATGGGAACAGGATTTCTAATATTCCCATGTCCCTGACATGGCCACTTTCTGAGAATACCTGGTTATGGTTTCTTAGAAAATGTGCTTTAAGAAGCTTAACTTCACTATAGTACTGTAGTAAATGTGCTCTCTCTGCGTTGTCTTTTTTCAGTATTTTCATGATCCAGACAGTGCAACTTTTAGCATTTGCCCAGGTGGAGATCAGCCTGCAATGAAATTCAGCTCCCTTCCTTGCTGGGACTTATTGCCTGATATCAGTCAGTCAGCGTTGGACGCAACCCTGCTTCAGAAACAGATCTTGCTGGGCTTTTCTCCTGCCACAGATGCCAACAGCTCACAGTGCTGGAGCCTGCCAGCTATAGTTAGACAAGAGTTTCCAAGACAGAGTGTGGCAGTGCCCTTCAGGAATTTTAGGGAAAATGGATTCTGTACCAGGTATTTTACATTTCTGTAAATACCGTTCTTCTTTGCTTGTCAGTGTAGCTGTTCATTGAAATGCCAAGAGAGACAGGAGCATAGTGAAGTGCTCCCAACATACTAGGCTTTACTTTTATTTTTAATGATTTCTAGACATTGTGTACAATTGTTCAACTGTTATGATCACATATGGGTTGTCCCAGTGTACTATTTATGAGATTTCTTCCCTTATGTGGCTTAAACTGGGGGTGGGAGGATGACAGTGTTTGTACCATAGAATAGCAGCAATACATCATAATGAAAAGATCACCTTCTTTTACAAGTTCTTAGCCTCTGTAAATGATGAGAAATAGGGTGAAAATATGAGAAAGTCAAGTTGGAAGACTTCTTTCTTTTCCCAGACTTTACTTTTACTTGAAAATGGAATTTTTTTGAAAAACTCATTAAGAGAAATAACTGAGAAAAATACAAGTCACAGAAGACTCTGTTCTGTGGTTGTTCCTGCACGCAAGTTGCTCCAATTACCGATTACCAATTATGCAAATAACAACCACAGATTTAAGCCAGAGACATGTAATGGTTTGTTCAGACTGGACTTCAATTTTGTGGTCGTTTTACATGCGATACGTCCTTTCTGCAGCTGTAAGGAATAACTTACTTATGGTATATGTAAAAACTACAAAAGAAAACATATTGTGGTCTGATGAGAGATACCTTATTCTCATGACTATGAATTTATAGACTTTGAGATTTTAGACATCCTAACTTTTTTGATGTACACAGAGATTTTTAATAGTAGTATTTTAAAAGATAACACCCTAACTTGAATTATCCATAATGGTAAGGCCATGTTCCATACACACTTCCCATCTTCTTTCACAACATTCACAAACATCCCTGATTTTCCAAACATTTTTCATCCCTAACACTGTGGAGAAGTGGTTATCATTATATTTTGGTTGGAGATGTTAAGCATGGTGAGTTTAAAGAAGTGTTTTTGAAAGGTATGTGAACTTATGTCTATAAAACAAAACTTATTTTTAAAACAGAAAGGCAAAATTTGAAATAAAACTTCATTTGGAAATTAAGCTTAAAATTCTAAGAATTATTGTATAATTTAATTTTATCTATACGTATTAAGCTATGTATTAGATTAAAAGTACCATACTCTGGTCCTGTTCTCTAGCTTTTCTGGCTACCAAAAAGAAATAACTGTGAGGCTGGCTTGACCAGCTCTTTAAAAATTAGGTTGGGAAAAGAACTTTGCTGTTAATTCAAGGACGGTACTCTGAAAATGATTTTACTTCCTGCTGTCTTATCTCCTCATTTCTTTCCTCCTCTCAATCCAACAGTGCACATTTGATGGTGTTATTAATGTGCTTTCCCCAGACACTAAAGGACAACTCACTCTGGCATTTCAGACAAATATACAGTCTTTGGAAAGGACTCACACTGGCAAATAGGATAGATGGCAAATGGGAAATTCTTTAGTGCGTTGTTGACCCGTTTTAGTCAGCATAAACTAAGGGCCATATTTAGCAAATTATGTAAGTTCTTTGATTAATTTTGACAATTAATTCATATAATTTAGACTTCAAAACATATTGCTTTGATATGAAATACCATTTGGTAGTCTATAGGTCTAAATAGGAAAATTTATCTCTTCATTGTAGGGAGCAACCTATGCCCGCACAGCTGTTTTTCTAAATCCAGATAATACAACTTTGCTCCTGATAGTCAAAACATAGATCCTGTAAAGTATGATGATCTTGTGAAAATTGACAGCAACCATTATGAGCCTACCTACCTTTAGAGTAAAACAAAAGAGCAAGAACCCAAATTCTCTAGTAATCCTTCTAAAAGTAGGTCAGCTCCTCCTTTATCAAAAATTACCAAGCACTTTTGAAGAGGAAGAAGGTTTCCTGTCTGAAGAGTTTAAAGCACATAAGCATAGAGGAAAAAAAGAACAGGAAAGGTTAGCACACGTTTAGCTATAGTTCTCTCTGGGTGGTAGAATTATGGGTGGTTTTTTAAAAATAATTTTTCAAATTTTTTGAATAAATGATAAATATATATTGCTATTATTATCAGAAAAATTAGCAAACTATAATGTATGGCAGTTAATAAATGAGGGGATGGCCTCCTTTTTCTGGAAAACATCTCCTCTGAGCTATAAAAGATAAGGTGTTTTAGAGTTCTAAATATTGCAAATCTGAATAAACATGTTCCAGGAGAGAAAGCGTTCATTTTTTCCTAAACTCTTTCCAACCTTTGATTTGATTCTATTCTAGGGCTATAGCACTGACATATCAAGAACACTTTGGAGTGACTTATCTAACCCTCTCAGAAGACCCTAGTCCTCGAGTAATTTTCCACAACAGATGTCCAGTAACAATGCTTATAAAGGAAAATATTAAAGGTATGTTTTATAGCATTGAATTTTAATAACACAAAATTTATATTCTTTCTGGAAGTTTTTGATGTAGTAGTTACCTGTGATCCTGTGAAAAAATGTTTAAATAAAGTATTATTCATCCCTCCTTGAGAAATTTCTTTTGCCGCATTACGTTTACTATCCCTTAAAGTCTTTGACTTTAAGGCCTCAGTCTGTATATGCCTTTTTTTTTTTTTTTTTTTTTTTGAAATTTCAGATACTCCAAAGTTTGAGGTTTATTGCAAAAAAATTCCTTCTGAGTGCTCAATTCATCATGAGTTATATCATCAGATTTCCAGTTATCCAGACTGCAAGACCAAAGACCTCCTTCCTAGCCTCCTTTTGAGAGTAGAATTGCCGGATGAAATAACCACTGAGTGGAGCGATGCCATCGACGTCAATAGCCAGGGAACACAGGTCAGTGCGCTACATGGTTCCTGCCAAGCCCCAAAGAAAATTCCCTTTTCTAAGGTTTTGTTGGTTGTCTATTTTTAAGTATAATTTTCTAAATGCTGAACTTCTTGTCTCTGTGTAAGGACGTTTGTGTATCTATTTGTACATCCTCATTAGGTTATAAATTCTCAAACGCGAGCATGTATCTCCAAAGTACCCTATACAACTATTCAGTAGAGAGAAGCACTTGGTAAAAGCAAGCCTATCTCAGATCTAATCCAAGGTCAAAAATTAAATAAAATCATTACAGGAATTCTTTATATAGAAGGTGGTCTAGCTGTCCAGATTTTAGAACAATCATAATACCAACCCTAGGTTAATTCCCTTTTTTGAAAGTTGACTAATTTTTAAAAATATATATTTATCCTAGTAATAAGTAACAGTCTGCAAATATAAAGTACAGTTTTAAAAACCTGACCAGATAAAATGTCCTGATCTGTTTCTGTCTTGCTCTGGATGTTAGTGATATTATTTTTATTGAAAATGGCACATGAACCTAGCATTTCCTTTTTGCTGCACTTAAAATTTATCATTTGTAAGTATAAAATTCAGTGGTATTAAGTACATTTACAGTATGTACACTATCATCACTGTCTATTTCCAGAACTTTTTCATCATTCCAAGCAGAAACTGTACCGATTAGGCAATAACTATCCATTCTTCTCTTTCCCAATCCCTGGTAACCTCTATTCTGCTTTCAGTATCTATGAATTTGCCTACTCTTAAGTACCTCAGATAAGTGGAATCATAAGGTGTTTGTTCTTTTGCATCTGGCCTGTTTCACTTAGCATAATATTTTCAAGGTTTATTCTTACTATAGCATGTTTCAGAACTTCATTATTTTTTGTGATTGAATAATATTGTGCTGTACTTTTTAAAAGTTCTTTCACATTTATTAGTTCATTTGGTCTTCAAAACAAGCTTGTAAAGTAGGTTCTATTGTAATAGTTACAAAACACATATTAAATTTATAAATATATTTAGAGTAATAATAATGGTTATCATTTAATAATCACTTATTCTATGCCAGGCATTGCGCTGAGCACTTTATATTCATTCTTTTTTTATTAGCATATTCATCGTTACAAATCATACTTATTCTTTATACCCCTTATCTTATCCTCACCATCCCTATCTCCCTCTGCCCTCTAATGGCCATATATTTGTTCTTTCCTTCTGATAGATTAACTGTTTCTATGTTGATTTGTTGCCGAGATGATCTGTCCAGTGCTGAGAGAGGTGTGTTCAGGCCTCCCCACCCCCCACCCCCATTATCATAGAGTAAATGTTTCTTCTATTACCCTGGAGTGTGCTTTGTGGAGAGAGACGTCCTCTTCTTTTTATTTACTTATTTATTTATTGTCCTTGCTGGTGACTCTCCTTGTATCAATGCATTCAAGTGTCTGGTGGGCTACCTGCATGGTGGCTGTGACTACTGCTATGGCGACTAGCCACTTTTGCAGTAGCTGTGGCAATTACGGTGGCTGTGGTGGGCTACCCTCATGGAGATGGTGTTTTTGGAGTGCTCTTTACCTGGTTGTGGCCAGGTTTCTCCCCAGCTTCATGCCTCAGGACCATGGGGGGCCTGTGGCAGTGGCAACATGCCTGGTTGCAGGCAGGTTTTTCTACATTCATTCTTATCTGCCCTTTACAATAGCCATTCAAGTTAGGAATTAGCATCAGAAGTGAAAACTGAGACCTCCATAAGTAACATGGCCTAATTCCCATGCTTTTCAAGAGAAGGGCCTGGGATTTTATCCAGATCTGCCTGGCTCCAAAGCCCATGCTCTGAAGCACTGTGCTATGTATGCTACTTCCTTACCTGGAATTCCTCAACTCCCCTCTTTCTCAGTCCTCTTGGCACATTCTTTCTCATCTCTCAGGATTTGGTTAAAGCCCCTATGAAGAAGACTCCTCCCCTCCCCCTCGGACCCTCTACATTCTCATATAACATTTGTAGCATTTAATTGCACTTGTTTCTGTAAATGATTTCCTACCAAGTCAAGATTCCCAGCAGTCAGATACCCACCTTATTCTTCCATGCTTTATTCTTCCTTGGCCTTCAGCAGAGTGCCTGTTAACACAGTAAGATCTTAATTAATAGCAAATGAATAAACAAATGGCTGAATGAATAAGGTGGGGTTACCGAGAGAGAGAGTGTGAAGGAGGTAGAGAGGGTCCCAGACACAACCTTGGGAAACTGTAGCATGAAGTGTAGAGCAGCCAAAGCGACTGAGGAGAAGGAGCAGAGTGGTGGGAGGAGAAGTGGGCAGGGTGGGCACATGGAAGCCCTGGAAGGAGAAAGGCTATAGGGTGGAAAACATGGAAAGAGGTCCAGCCAGGTAACCATTGGAAATTGCAAGTTCAGAGTGAATGAAGTGAGGTAGTGGAGGAGCGAGTGAGAATTGTTCTTTCAAGGAACATGGCCACAAAGAAAGCACCATCAGTGAGGAGGAAACTGTTTACGTGTTGTGAGAGAGGAGCCATGCAATTAACTAAATCCTGAGAAATGAGAAAGAGAGTGCCAGAATGAAGGTCTGCCAGAGAGACAGATCCAAGGCACTGGCAGAATAATTCGGCGAGGATGGGCTCAGGTGGAGAGAGAGATGTGGAGGATGGGGCTGGGAAATGAGTGAGAAGACTCGGTGGCCTTAGGTTTATTTGCGAGGTGTGGAATGAATGATCTGCTGGGAGACAGAGGAAAAGAGGTGGGGGCCTGGGGAAAGCAGCAGCTGTGGACCTGGCTAGGGACAGGTGGAAGAATGACTGAGCAGCCTGGAAGGCCATACTCACCTAGACACCTGCATTTGTAGTGGCCCCAAACTACCCTGGGCTGTGCTTCCATCAGAAGTGCTCATTTGAGGAACATTGAAAATCTGCTGGATCTGTGCAGCCTCAGAAGATGTTCCCACTTTTGTTAATTTACAAAATAAATATTGCAAGCTTCTCAAGGGTCCCTGAACTCTGTTGCATCAAAATTTTTGAAATCTTGCTTATATATGACTAGGGAATTCTTTACAATAGGCATTCTGCCTGCCAAACCTTCTTTTGGGGATTTCCATCCACCCTAAATTTCCTGAAACCTTTGTAGTCAGGGATATTTCAAAGCTAAGAGAAGGTGCTCTTTCCCACACCCTTATCATCCGTGGTCTGAAGACCCAGCAAAGTCTCATGTTCTCGTTAATCTTTCAGGAGTTGTGTGCCATATGTCCTGCAGACCCTGGTCTACTTCCTACTCTGGAGGAAGATTTGTTTCAGACCCTCACCAACATCTCCTCAGTAATACCCCAGAGCATATAAATCACTGGAGAGTGAAGGGAGTTGTGTCCTCTGATGAAAGGAGCAGCCCTTCTGTAGGAGTGAGTTTGTCTTCCAGGAACCTTCTCTCAGGTCTTGGTCTTAGGGATGCAATGTGAATTTTAAAGCCGACCTTAACAAGCAGAATTAAAATACTGTAAAATCCCCATTGTGCTGCAAGGAAGAAAACTCCTTTAGCTCTTGTCAGTCATAGACATGACCCCATGCCTCAGTTTTGTA